CTTTGGCCTAATTGTTGGCAGTGTAACAAGAACATGTATAAAGTTTGTTGTTCATTTTGTGCTGTTTTCTTGACTTTAGTCGATTTCACCAGACATTGGCATAGCTATCATCATTGCATCGTGACTGTTTTCACTCATCCGCTGTGGTCCAAATACAATGTCAGAAACACAATTATTTGTCTTATAAAGCATTTGTGCAGTCTTATCTTCCTTCAAACGTTCCTTCATATTTAGTCTCATTTGAATGTATTCTGAAACAGGGATTTATATTTTGGGTTAAGGTCAAGCACCTGGCCATATGTCCTTGTGTCTGTCCGACACTATTTCTGTCTCAAAATATACAAAAAAAATCAATGTTTGGACACGTCATGTCATTTTTCACTCATTCCTTGGCCAGTTGACATCTTCCAAGGTGGATACAGATGCATCTCATTTTTTTTGTGATTTGTTTTTTTACAAGTCTTCTACCCATTTACTTTCTTCACAGATTTTGTTTAAATTTGGTACAAAGGCAAAACATATACAGTTGTTCAGGTATGCCTTGGAAGCCAACTTTATTAAAACTGAGCCTAAATGGATTACTGATACCCATCAGTTTGCCAACTGGTGGTTATGTTGGTTTATTAGTCCCTGTTTGGACACAGTTCGAAAACTGAGACTTATGTTTTGACCCTTGTGCGTCCATGCATCCGACCGGAATGTATCTTTGACATGCCTGGACCAATCACAATCAAATTTACAAATACATCATACATAATATTATACATATGCACATCAATTTGTTTCACGATCTGATTCAAGATGGCTAATGGTGGCCATTTTTGTACTGAAAAATCATAAAAATCAAGCATTTCTCGGCTGTTACAGATGGATTTTGTTCAAACTTGGTACATACATTAGACATTATGGGTTCCTGATGCAGTCATTTTATCTTTCAGATCGGATTCAAAATGGCTGACTGGCGGCCATTTTGTTTTAATGAATGGACTTCTAGAGCCAAATCTCTGACACGCATATATATTCATTATACATCATATCATAGATATACAGATATATTGGTTTGAGGATCCTATTCAAAATGGCCATTTTTGTGCTAAAAAATCATCAAATATCAAGTATTTCTGGCATTTATGGATGAATTTCGTTAAAACTTGGTTCATACATTAGACACTATGTGTTCCTGATGCACGTCATTTTATTTTTCAGAATGGGCTTCTGGATCTATGACATGCTTTGTCTGATTATGTTCAAATTTTATATATTCATTATACATCATGTTATAGATATATACATGTATTCAAAATGGCTGATTTTGTTTTATTTAATATAATTAATGTTTTAATTAGAGCAATATCTCTCAATATGGACAAGTACGATCAGATACAAATGTCAATCATTTGAATGTTAAACAATTATCATAATCATATTCCTGACATGGTTATATTCCAGCTATAATACAACTTGTATAAACAAAACTATAAACCTTAAATTCAATAAGTAACGGGGACTGTGAAATGCATGGCTTGTTTTATTATGTCTACCCAATTTCTGAACACACTTCAGCTTTGACCTTCAAAGTAGGTACAAGATATAATGATGTTTATATGCATATTTATTTCAACATGTCATCAACCATTTTTGTGAAAAGTATTAATTCACTACGTTCAATTACCCACCATAGACTCCGGTCTGTCAAAATGACTATTTTGAACTGTCTGCATTAATCAGCGATTCTGCCAATGATGGAGAGATAAAATCTAGGTCAGAGGACGCCCCATGATCCCAAGATATTTTCCCCTTACATCACGAACCACGTGGCCGAGCTAATTTTTTGTCTCCATACCGATGGGGATGAAGTCTAGCGGCTCTGCCTGGAAGGCCTGCCTTTTTCCTGTCCGGGTTTCTGGCTTGGGTTGCTTAGGTTTTTCCCCTTTGTACTGTATTTTACAACAAAGAAAATAAAACCCGGTGACACGATTTAACCACGTTGTTGGTCTTTGTTGTGTCACCTTTTCCAACTGTATTTCGCTTCCCTCATGCATATCGTGTTCATTTTTTGTACACTATGTATTTAGAAATGGATAGATCTAATGACAGCACCAGAGACTCGTCGCCGGTTTTGTCTCCTCATTGTTTTGAGGCGACTATGCCGTGGTTATAATCAGAAATTACCAGAATGAAACCTGCATCCAAAATGTTATTTTTGCCGAGTCTGCGTGTGGGGTTCGGGATTTTTTGCCTTGAAGGCGTGTGTTTTCACCGGGGTTCTGAGGCCTGGGATGTTTTCCAGAGCCATGCAAATTCGCTGAGACTGGCCGCAGAGCTCGTATTGCACAGCAAGGTGTGTCCAGTAAAAATCGGTTAAAGTGAGTTGTGAGTACTTCGTGTACTGAGACGCCATGTAAGAGGCCCGACGGTGGTATATTTTTCGGTCTACCCCCCCGCTGATCGGAGGGCATTCTCACATTTTTTTTTTTTCAGGCAGTGGTTTACCTGATTTTACCTGCAACGACGAGCATGTGTCCCTTGGGGTCTTTCCTCCTACAGGGCCCCTTGCGGATCCCTTTGTGGATCCTTCCTCGCACGGCGCCGGGTTTGCCTCTGAAATGAGGGCTTCGGTCGAAGAATTGCCGGGGCAAATTGTGTCCTTGGCAGGCCGGGTAGATGCAGTCTCCACTGCGACCCCTCAACCAGCAAACAGGAAGAAACACAGAAAGCTTTGCTCGCATTCAAAACATGTCTCTTCCGGGGAACCCCTCATTCTCAGCCACGTCTCTCCCGTTGTTTTGGGTGAGGCCGCGGCTCAGGCTAGTTGCACCAGGTCTTCTCCGGGACCTCGGGCACTGAATGCCAACGAAAATGCTGGCAGTCAAGCCTCCGATTTCGGGGCAGGGCTTTTGGATCAGGGCACATGTTACACCTTCCCCCTACTCTCAGCCAGCCAGGGTTCATCACGCGGTACCGGACTCAGGAATTTACCCTTGAGTCCGGGCTCCTCTGTGGGTTTTGACTCCCTTTTTGCTGACCCATGGGCATCCCCAGAGGGAACTGACCCTGTCATGAGACGCACAGTCGAACACACTCTC